TAATGCTCACACACACACACACACACACACACACACACACACACACACAGGAGCAGGTTTGTCTGATATATGTGATTCCCTTATTTGAGCTTTTCAGAAAGTCATAATGTGCTGATGAAATCACAAAAACATCTACTTTAGTTTGGCTAAATCATCTGGAGGTTGAGTCATTTTTAGAAAAATAAATAAATGCAATACTACCTATTATTATACGTAATATATAGACTGTGCAATATCTATGGACTAGGACAGACTTTACTTGACATCTTATGGCAGTAGTGGGGAGTGTTACTGCTTATACACAAATCTAAGGGAAATGATAGTATTCATAGTGTTGTTGGCGATAACTCCTGACTAAGTTTCAGACAGCAAAGCAGTAACAGTGGCAATAGGAGGACAGCAGGACAAAGAGGAAGACACAGTGACAGCCATGGCCATAGGACAGATCCCAGCAGCACAGCAGCTACAGGAACACACCGGGTCACGGCCCAGAGGTGAGAGGTTTAAAGGTCAAAGAGGTCACACGAGACAAAGAGAAGCAATAACAGATGCTTTAGAATCACAATTACATGAGACAATCATAATGAAAATGTCCACTATGGAAGTAACTATCACACAGAGAAGGTGTGAAAACAATAGGCGCTTTCACACCGGAGTACTTTTCCCCGTACTTTTCCCTTTTAGTTCCAATAGTTCCTGGGATTTTGCGTTCACACAAAAAAGAGAACTTAGTTCATGAGAACTTTTCCCCCCTTTTCAGTGCCTGCTAGAGAGGTGGTACTTTCCTGGGGAGAAGAAAGTTCCAATTTCTGATTGGCTGGGCGAATTGCAAACCATGGCCCGTAAAACTCAAAAACGTTTTGTGAAGCCACCATTTTAGTTGCTGGAATTAGCATTATTAGCATTAGCCCCGCGCACCAACGGAGAAAGAATAACTTATGGGAACACAAAATAAAACGTGGGAGCGGTGGAGTGATGAGGAAGTGTCGGCGTTCTGGCGATTTACTCGGAAGGCTTCCCTAACTCCGGGGACTTCCGGCCGGGGACTTCGGGTGGCAGTATGCGCCGTGAAGTTGTTTGCGGCCTACCAGTAAACCCAAAGCAAAAGAAGAAGAAGTGACTTCAGCGGCTTCATTTCATGCTTCATTTGCGTAATCTTCCCTCAGGGACTTATTCCGGTGTGAACGCGATCTGCTCTTTAGTTCCATGGGGGAAGTGCTGGGAACTAAGTACGGCAAAGTATTTGGTGTGAAAGCGGCTAATGAGAACTAGCATCTACATCCTGCATTATAAACGTCTTAAAGTACAGCGATCAATGGATGCATTTTTACTGGAACTGCATGTTTTGGAATTAATGGGGATTATTTTTGAGTGTGATATGATTTGCAATATTTGAGGGATATTTTTTAAAGATGTATTCATATTATCAATGAAAAGTGTATTAAAAAGATCATGGTTGGATCTGCACAAAACAAGGATCATTTATTAAGCCTCTTGAATACCAGGACTTCTCAGCAGCACAAAAATACTTATTGCATATTATATTTGATAAAATACTTAGACTAGATGGACTCATTTCCCATTGCAAGAAGACAAGTATGCCGTTCTTTTTTTCCACCTGAGACTACTGAGTCATTTGTCCCAGGATTGAGTTGTGGGTTAGTGGGTTTTGTTTCCGGTGGGAAAGTGGGTTGTGTGTGTATGCTGTATTTTTTTGTACCTGTTGGGAGGGAGGTTCAGGACTGTGGTCTCCTGATAGAGCCAAGTCCTGCAACTCTGGCTCTGTCCTCTCCTCAGCTGGAGCTCCGCCACTGGCTTCACTGTCCTAGAGCACACACACACACACACACACACACACACACACACACACACACACACACACACACACACACACACACACACACACACACACACACAACACTTTAACTTTACAGAGGAAGTGATAAACCATTATACAAGAAAAAACAGATTAATACCAAAAAACACTCTCCTATTCGACATGGAATCAAGCTAAATGAAATGTTCTTGATGGAAGAGAAAAGGCACCATGTTATTTCTTTAGAAGGAAATAATCAGACAGAATATATCAACGGCTGTTTTCATTTTTGTTATTCCATTATGTTAAGGAAAAGAAATAGAGTAGAATCAGTGCTGTACAAAGCAAATCAATGTGTGTACCTCATACTGGAGGCCTCCTCCGAGTGCGTCCAGGTCCAGGTGAAGGTTCTTCAATAACCGGTCTGAACCACGAGGACTTGGCTGAAAAAGATCACAATGTGTTTAAAAAGGGAAATAGAGCATGCATAAAACAGCTAGTACCTGCTTGGTCTTGGATTGGAGAGGTGAGAATCAGAGGGGTGACCTTTGACTTACTTTACAGGAGACAGAAATCTGAAATGTAGAATACCTTGTCCTTACTTTCTTTATTAACTCCGGTCTTTAAAAAGTAAAACATCATAATCATTTGGATCACAAGAAGCTCAATGTAGGATATTTCGACATTTTTTTTTTCTTCTAAAGTGCACTTTTGCACCCTAATAGTTCTGTTTGTTCAGGGCCTTTGGTTTTGCTAAAGTAAATGAATAACTATGGATTGGTAAAGAATTGAAAATGGTCCTTTGGCATCAGAATAGGCTCATCAAGAGCTTTCTTCATTTATATATATAAAAACAATTCTCACACAAAATGTCACTGACACCCTCTGGTTTTAACCCTTAAACTTGTCTTTAGGTTGTACTGCACCACGTTTTCTGAGATTTTCTCATCCTCATTGTCATCATCATCTTCATCATCATCAAAGCCAGGCAGAGTGAGGGACACTCGCTCCTCCTTCCTGTTTCCCAAAACACTCGAGGCTCCACTGCCCCGAAGGCTCTGACAGAGAAAGACAAAGAGTTTACTAACAGAGTCAAGTTTAATGGTTTGGGAGTAGGCATTATGTATGTAAATAACATTATCAAGATTTCATTTTAGGGTTCATCATTGTCTTATGAGCAATTCATGATATTATCGCCATTATATGCCATACCATTATATATTATACATTATCAAACGGACAAGTCAAATCAAGCAATCTGATTGGTTCTTAGCCGTGATATACTGAGCGTATACCACGGGTAGAATTGTAAGTTACTTTTCACAACAAGTCAGTATCCCTCCGCGTCTGAGAAAAACAGTATACCGTTGGGTACATACTGGAACAAGAAAGCAGCGGAGAAGTAACGGGGCACAAAGCCTCCTTTTTACGCAGCGGTCCAGACATAGACATCAAAGGGCAAAACATATTCAGTGTGCAGTTCCTTTGGCATTAGGGCAGGGATATCTAGACACTTTCCAAGGTTTGACATAATGAATTGTGCTACTTTTAAAGCAAGCAACGATGTTTTCAAATCTGTAATCAAAGAGGTCCGCAAAAACACTATCGACCAATCAGATTGCTTGATTTGACTTGTCAGTTTTATAAATATATTTAAATTTCTTCCGTTATGAAACAAACTTACAAAGCATAAGATGGAAACATTTAAGAATAACTTCGACCTCCGGGGGGGTCTTACTATGGAGGAGTGGATTTAGCAGTGCCTATCTCCAGAAAAAAAAAAAGCACCTNAAATAATGGATCAACGCTCTCTGTCTAATATGTTCGCCAGCTGTTAGTGTCGTTGCATAGCAACCACGTCGCACTATGTTTTGTGCAGAAGGCAACGGAGGGACTATTTTATTTTGAACATCATTATTTACCAATAAAAACTATTTAAATTGAGTGTGTATTTTTCTTTCATATTGCCACACTTGGTAACCGTTCGCGTCGGGCCGAACCAAGCCCCTTAGCTGTGATATAATGAGCATATACCACGGCCTGTCGTGAGCTATTGCTTAATTATATTATTATTGCATCACAGAAAGGTCACACATCCTTTCAAGGGAAACATCTATATCAATCTTAAATAATGCTATTATAAAGAATAAGGCTTTCTCGCATTAAGGCCAAATAAATAATCGTGTGAGTGTATTCTGTCTTACGTGATGAATTCTCATTTTTTTGAATTAAAAAGGTGAATAATACAGTCCGTTTATAGACCTGGGATCTTACCCCAAGCGATGTCTTTAGCGGCTCCAGTCCCCCGGAGCTCCCGAGGGTGCGCCGGAGAGCGGGAGCAGGGCCAGACAGGGGGGCCGGGCCGGGGGCGTCCAGACCTCTGAGAGGAGCCAGGCTGCCCAGAGGGGACGGTAGGCGTCCCAGAGAGGAACTCAGCGCCTGTGGGACAAAAAGACACCGTAAGAGAACTGAGCAACCTGACCTAACATTTTTCAATCGCTAAAGACACTTAATGAATACTGAATTCCATTGAGAATCCTCACTGTATTTGGTTGGGCATTTTAAAAACAGCTTTTCATGGTTCGATGTTAATGATAATGTTTTACACAGTGTACACAAACGCATCATTACAGAGAATTTAGCAACGCCAATCAAGTCAAACAGAAAATGTTGATGGTTGTCTTTGGTCATCTTTTTGCCTATTTACTCATTTAAATAGCTTACGAGGTGTGAGGGTGAGGTGAGGTGGATTAAAGGACAAAACAACAACAACAAAATGAAATCTGTGGGAAAATATCACTCACTCCAGGAGTCTTGAGCGGCTCCTTCTTTTTTTTCTCTTTCTTCTCCTTCTTTTCTTTCTTCTTCTTCTTGTCCTTCTTCGCGCCTCCACCTCCTGTGGCGGTCGTGAGCTGGGCGCGCTCGCGCTCCTGGGCCACCAGGCGGCGGTAGTGCTCGTCGCAGGGGTGGTCCCACGTGGACTGTCCCGAGGAGAAGTTGAAATAGTAGATATCCCCCGTCACGTCCTGGCTGTGGGAGAGGAGGGGAGAGAATTGGGGGGTCACTAAGGCAGGATAGAAATAAGAAATACTGGGAAGATGGGTATGGATAGATCCCTGAAACTAAACGCTGCACCATTTAATCAAACTCTATCTGACAGATTTGTCAGGCCATAAAGAATTAAAGCTGATTTCTTTTTTAATGACTGACACGCAAACTAATCATGTTGGTTGACTCAATAGTTAGTAGTTTACAAACATCAAATTATATCATCATCATCAGCCTCTCAGTTGAGGGGAGAAAGGTTTGGACAGGTATTTGATTTGCTCGAGCGATAGGGCCAATATATAATATTATACAGAAAAATATATGATGTTTGCTGGTCCATCAATTCAATACAAACCCTTTAACCTATATCTTAAACTGGTTTGATCTAGGACCTACTTGATATGGATGTGTAGTGGAGTGAGTCCAATGTTAGGCATTTAACTGCAGCTGACAAAAGATAGTTACTTAGCATTTCCCCCTTCAGGTTTCAAAAACACCTTCAAAGAATCAGTGGTCAAGGAGAAAAAACTTGATATTGGCCAAACACACTACAACCAATCGAACTCACTGATGGGAATGCTTGTATCTGACGCCTCACTTAGGACACCAAGACTTTTCACAACCACTTTCTGACAGTGGCTCAGTCAGTAGGGGCTTGGACTGTGAGCCGTAGGGTCGCCAGTTCAAGTCCCCGAATCGACCTAAATATGGAGTGTGGACTTCTACTTGGAGAGGTCCCAGTTCACCTCAAGCGCCCTGCCGTGGTGCCCTTGAGCAAGGCACCGGACAACCCCCCCCCCCCC